AGAGTAGCGATACCAGGAGGAGAAGGGGAAGGTGGGGCAGAAGGGGGAACCAATCACAATGACCTACATATAACCCCCTCCCAGGGGGACAGACAACAGAAAAGTGGGTGAAGGGAAACATTGGTCAGTCTAAGACATGGAAAAATGTATGATAATAATTTATAAATTAGCAAGGGTCCATGAGGGAGGGAGGGGGGAATTGAGGAGCTCAAGTATAAATTGAGGGCTCAAGTAGAAAGAAAATGTTTTGAGAATGATGGCGGCAACAAATGTACAAATGTGCTTGACACCATGGATATATGTATGGACTGTGATAAGAGTTGTATGGGCCCCTGATAACATGATTTAACCAAAAAAGTTATTTCTTGATACAAATTTCTTTCTTAAACATATTTGAGTGTCACTGGTTTTGTTTCTCTAGAAAACTCACCCTGACAATTCCCTTAAACTTTTTTGTTCCACATGCTTAAAATAATATCTAAATGGAACACCAAGTCCACACGGATGCCAAAAGTTCTTCTTTGTAAAGAACACAGACTTCTTAGGGGAAGGGTTAGAGAGAGAAATGCTGCCAACAAGGGTGATTCAGGCTTCCTGCCTCAAGCAAGCACATTCCTGAGACAGGGGCAAGGGAAGGAGTGAGAGTTTCATTGACTATTGATATTCAAGGAGACAAAGTGGAATCGATTTCACCAAGAACTGTCTACCTGCAGGAAAAATTAAGATCTCTATTTATAACTAAATTATAGGTGATCAGTTCATAAATCCTGTCTCCTCTGTCTTACACTGCTCTCTACTCTGTTCACTGTACTTGGGTGGTGATGGCACAATAAACGGATTTAACTTGCTCTCGCCCTAGAACTCAAAAGATATGTTTCAGCCTAATTACTGTTTAACAAACTCTTCTTCCAGTCTAAAATTATAAACAAATCATTTGTTTCAATTCGTACTGCTAAAGAAACTACTCAAATCACAAAACTATTAGTAATTCGTAGTCCATGCTTCACTTATTTTACTGAAACTCTATTTAATACCCTTTTCTGTAGTCGTTTCAGTGAAAGTTACCTCAGTCTCTAACTTCCCAAAGAAAACAACAAAGGCAAGCTAGTTCACCACAAAGTCAAACGCAAAGCACAAAGCCAGGCTCTGCATGCAAGCCAACTGCATGGCAGCCCCAGCAGTCCCAGGAAGCCCGATGCAGTATCAGAACTAGATGGGTAATAGGCCAACAAAAATAGCTTCCGTTTGCAGTATTTTGTTTAATACAGATTTCTATGGTGTTGTAGCAATATGTAATATATATATATATATATATATATATAAATTTTACACTGGCATAGTGGAGAAAGAGCCCTGGTAGCATCAGTGGTAATCAATTGCTACTAATCGAAAGGCTGAAGGTCCAAACTTGAGTGACATACCAGGGCAAAGCACTGACAATCTGCTCCCCCCATTAAGATGGTAGCTTAGAGACCCAATGGGAGACCTCTGCTCTGTCACAGTGGGTTGCCAAGATGCTGAATCCACTCAATGACATCTAGCAATAATAACATTATTGCTGCTGTTCTATGCTGTCCAGTGGGTTCTGACCCATAGTGATCCCATGTCCAACAGAATGAAATCCCTCCCCTCTCGCCCCCCGCCAGTCCTGTGCCACCCTCACACTTGTTCTTATGATTGAGACTCTTATTTAGTCATGATGTCAATCCATCTCCTCAAAGGCTTCCTGCTGTTCCTGTCCTGCTCGCCTTTCCCAGCATCATGCCCTTCTCCACGGACTAGTCTTGCCTGATAACATGTCCGAAGTATGAGTGGAAGCTTTGCCATCCTTGCCTCTCAGGAGCATACTTCAGACAAACTGTTTGTTCTTTGGCCAGTCTGTGGCAGTACCTTTAACATTCTTCACTAACACTCTGTTTCAAATGTGTCAACGTTTCTTGGATTTTCCTGATCCAAGGACGAGCTTTCACATCCATATAAGGTAATTGAAAATACCATGGCTTGGGTCAGTTGTACATTAGTACTGGGTATAAAACAAAACAAAACATCCTTGTCTTTCAATGCTTTAGAGAGGTTTTGTGTAGCAGATTTACCTAATGCAATGCACCCTTTGAACATTGGCTTTGGATCCAAGAAAGATGTAGCTGAGGGCATATACACAACTGTATACATTTTTTATTCAAGATGAAATTGCAAAAATTTTTGGTCTTTATGATCTGAGGTAGATTTGCAATTTGAAACTCTGGCCACCTGAGATATTATTAATCTTCTCCCAGGAAACCTCAGAAGGAAGATTCTAAATTACCCATTAAAGAGCTGATTGCCTGTCAATCAAGACATTGATTCTCTTCCTTTACAGAGACAGAGGGAGTGAATGTGAAAGAGCCACCAGGAGGGCAACCTCCTTTCTTATTTTTAAAGGGAAGAATTCAAATCTTTTGTTTCCACTTGGTACTTTCCTTATCATTTATACAAACATTGACACAGTTTGTCTACTAACTATTACATGTCATTCAAGTTTAATTAATTTTGCCAACTATGTATTTCATAGTAAAGGAACAGATTCATGACCAAGTGATGCATTTAATGTCCCTATTTCTTTTGAAATCTCCCTCTGTCTCAATAATTCTTCAACCATGCCTTGGACTTCAAGAGTTAAACCCTTTAAAGATTAGAGGCAGCTTTTGGAAACAATGTCTATCACATGGCTTACTTTTCCTCCTAAAGGTAGACAGGTCTCAGAAGAACAATAATACAATGGATGCATTCACACCTCCTAATAAGTAGCCATTGGAGATCAAGGAGTCAGCATTAGCCCAGGGACAAAGGTCACAAGGGTTAGGGGAAAAGGAGTGGAGGCTGGGAAACCCTGGGCAGGGTTGGTAGTGGGATTGTATTGGAGGCATTTTGAGGAATGTGATAAAATGTGTGTACCTTGGTGAATGTAAAACATGGTCTGCAATCCATGACCCCATTCACAACAAAAGGTAAAAACAAAGTATGTTCCTCAGTTTAACTTTTCCTGCTATTTTTTGTGATTTGTTTGAGTTTTCACAGGGATATCCCCAGAGTGATGCTATAGTCTTCTCACTGCACCATTTCCGTTTGCTCCATTCCCTTGGATTATTTGCAAAAAGTAACATTTATAGTGTTCCTTCCCTTTTTTCCTCCTAGCAATTTAATCAATACTTTAGGGAGAGGACTTTGAAACTTTATTAACCGTTCATTTCACATACACGTTCAGTTCCTTTATTTGTATCACTATGGACTCATAGAGTCTTAGTTTATTTATCGCTTACAATGAATGATGATGATAATTTGAATATGCGGATTGTGCCCAGCATGTGCAGA